ATGCAAAATCAACAGATTACCCGCGGGTAATCAGCCGGAAAATACAGTAGTATGAAAAAACACCCTGCGAAAAAAATCGTATTAACCCTTTGGCTCCCAGAAGTGATCAACATGTAACTTGTCTCTATAATATCCATACACGATCCAGCAAACAGGTAATGAGAATCCACAAACTTATCAGTAAGAAGTTGTTACCTTGATTGAACACCAAATTCTTGTAATCAATTTACAAGGAAATGTGTAGCAGCTAGAGGGGAGAATTAACAATCAGATCTTGGGAGTTCAAGGGTTAAAACTATGCACTCCCAAAAAAGTGTTAAATTACCGCATTTATTGCATCCATTTTGAAATCGCTGGTGGTCCCTGTAATCTGATTGGCTCCAATTGGTGTGATTTATTCTTATTCGCTGGTGCTTTGGATGATAACCATTTTTTGCTCTAAATTGCATCATTTTATGCTTGACTGAGTTTTTGACACATGACGTTAGTCTTTCTGTTTTGCATACAAAATAAGATGTAAAGGCGTTTCCAGTTCCACTTTTTATCTAAAAACTGGCTCAGTACTGCATCAGTAAAATATTTAAATTGACCAAGTCCTGTATTTGGGCTATTTTAAAATGGATGTAATAAAGTGGTAATTGAACCTCGTGTAGCGCAATTTTGGTCTGAAATCATACTTGTGATATCAAATCGAAATTACGCTGCTTGCTCGTTCGATTTTGAAATCACGCATATGATTTCAGCCCAAATTGCACTCCACTTAGTTCAATTACCAGTATTTACCCGTGTATAATACGCACCGCTGTATAATGCACACCCTTATTTTTAACCTAATTTATCAGAAAAAAAAGTTTTTCATAGCAAAAAAGACAAGTTAAATATTCATACAATTATTTATGAAGACAACAAGGATAAGAAATTTAGTATATCATTACCATCAATATCTTTTGCTACTTAGTTATTAATGACATTAATAACTAAATATTATGGGTGAGCAACAATATGTCCAAAAAGTTTAATTTAGATTTTGTGTCATATCGTCGTATTTTTAAAATTTTCAAACTAATGCTATGCAATGTTTTGGCCATAAAGTCAAGTAAACAACAAAATAACCACGATGAATTCCAATGCTTGCTCTTTGTACACATAAATTTGCACATTTTTGCTTATAACAGCAAATCAAGAACTGCCTTATATAAAGCTTTTGTCCTGAAATATTTCTCACTCTCTTTCTTCTTACTTCTCATTGAAAAATTCCATGTAACTA